AAATCTCCCCAGATGGATCTATTGTGAGGACAACTGGTTTAATCTCACTTGAACCTTTCACTGAGAGGTTAGGCAGAAAAGATCTTACTCCATCCCCCACTTTTAAAAAAGTGRCTTGTCTTAAAGCCACACAACTAATAAATGGAAGGGTGGGCGTTCAGCCCCGAGCTGGCTGGTACTCTGCCCTTCAGTCTAATCTTCGTCTGGCCTCCGCGGGGGGCTACGGTTATGGCCCACCACWGAGGAGGAGAGGGAGAAACCAGGCTTCTGGATCAAGGCCCGACTTCGAGTTAGAGTTCAGTTAGGTTTCTACGTCCCTTATGTCCCCGGATGCTCTTCTGTCCCTGTTTCCAGTCTTTGAAGCTAAGTCCAGGCCAATGCCTATATTAGACAAATAAATCCTAAGCCTCTTAATGACAAAGTCAATGTCACCGTCCACTGATGCAAGCCGTGAATACTCAAGGTTGGAAAATGAACACTGGCAGGAAGGACTGTACTTCCCTGGAYGCAGCCCTAGAAGGCCCATGTTCTTAGTTCTGAGCAATCTGCACTCTGGGAGTTCGTTCAAGTTCATCTTTGGATACTAGCAACCTACCTGCCTGGGATTCATCCCCAGTTAAATGATAGGTCAAGACGGAGGAGGTSGGCGATGCGGAGGGAACTTTCATGGTGGCGAGAAGCCCCCAGAGGTGTTAGGAAAAGTCAAAAGCCTTATCCAGGGAATGGGGCCAAAGCACGCAGATGTCACTTGGCAGCAGGATCATGTTGCATCAGAATGATGGGGCTGGGGGAGGGAGGTATTTCGTGTGGTGGCTGTCCTAGCTGGCCCCAGTGTCCCTCTTAGGGACCCTTTTCACCCTAATAAAAGGAAGCCAAGGGGAACAGACATTTACTGAGCTCCTCCTGTATGCAGGCACAGAGACATGCACGTGGCATGTACTGTCTCTTAAAATAGTCTCCCAGCAGTTTTGCAAGCAATTATTCCCTCCAATACACAGACAGGGAAACTGAGGCACGGGGAGGTCAGGAAACTTGAGTCGAACCTGATTTGGCTAMTCTATGATAAAACCAGCGTCGAGTTGATTCCCAAACTGGACGAGGAGCTGGAACTGGAAAAACCAATAAGTGGATTGGGCTTGGTAGGATGATTTGAAAAGCATTCCTTGTGTTTCTCCTGAGTGTCCCCCAATCTGCTCTGAAGCCTAATGGCCCACCCCTTCCAGTGCTTTCCACCTGGAATGTGAAGGATACGGAAAACCAGCCCCTCCAGGGGGAGAAGGAAGGGCCAACCACACTTCCCCACCAGCTCCACCTCCAGAAACTTCCCACACCCACGCAGCAGGCCACGGCCACAGCCCTGGCTGGGTTTGCTCATGTGAGCCAGCTGGGTCCTGCTGAGGGGGACAGGCAGAGGGAGGCCCAGCAGCGAGGTGGCGGGGACCCAGACCAGGCCAGACCCAAGGAGAGAGTGTGGCTCCCGGAGGCAGGTCTGCAGGTCCTGCCTTCTCTGCAAGTTAGAGTCAGCCCCTGTAATTAGCAAAGGGCAGGTCCGTGGGCCTTTGAACCCCGAGTCCAGGTTCCCAGGATGAAAGGAGAAACCCATCAGCACAAGCGCTCCGCTGCTAATGAAGACAACGTCCTGTGCACCATCCACGTGACCTTGACCTAACTGATTTGCTTAAAGTGCTCCAGGGCCCTTCTCCGCAGGGAGAAGAGTGGGAGGGGACAATGGGGGCACTTGAGAAGCAGAAACGAATCGGACTGGCAAGCCGGGGAGCCACCAGGGCCTGGAGTTGGCGGCAGCCATGGAAGAGATCTGTGTTTTTTGTCGTTCCTTCAACACCATCCTCTCCCTTTGGGGATCTGCAGCTTTTCTACTGAGATCCTCTGATTGGGATGGGCCTGCCAATCACAGGTTTTTACCCAATCCCCTGGCCACAGGGGCGGGACATAGGATCCAGGCYCAGCCAATCAGAGCGCCTTGTTGGCCTGACCTTCGAGGTCCAGAGTTGGAGCCTCTCTTTTGGCGAGGAACGGGAAGGGCGCTGATGTTTTTGTARTATGGAGTTTGAAGGCCAAGAAGCTTGGGCCTGTGGAGCCTTATGTCTCTACCTGGCCCCAACTAGGGGTCCACTAGCCTCCAACTGGGGCCAGAAAAAGTGGAGAAAGAGGGGGACTGAGTGAGTATGGAGGCGTTAGCYCCAGGTCTGTGTCTACCCTAAGTCGGCCTTGGTTCTTGTACTCTGCCTTTTAACTCTGCGGTCTTCCACATTCCCTGGTTCAGTACATCCACCTTCTGATTAAGCTTCTGTGAGTTGGTTGCTGGGACTTGCAAGGGCAAGAACTCTAATGCCCACAACAGTCAGCAAAACTAGGATCTCAGGGCCGTTTTCTTATCACGTTTCTTTCTGGTCTCACAAGCCCTCAGTTAGGGCTGTAGGGGAATCGGATGGTGCAGCCACGTATCTAAACTTGGAGGGACCCCCGTGGTCCTTGAGGACCTCCTTTCTCTTTTATTTATCAGATGATGGGAAGGAGACCCTTCCGGGAAAGAGAATTGCTGTGGTCACACAGCAAGTCCCTGCAAGACCAGGGCTCGGGAGAGCCCAGGTCTTGGTTCTCTGTACCTCCCATCTGGACTGGAGCTGCAGGAAGTTTCCAGAAAGAACACTTGGACAGATGCATGACATATGAAGGCATGGGGTCCAGAGGCCCCCGAACTTGACCTCGGGTCAGCCACCTCTCCTTTTGGTTCTAGATTTAAGTTTCCGCCCTTCTGACTTTCCAAGACCAGGGGAGGAGCGACTTATTTTTTTGGTTTGGTCTCACTCTTACCTGGATTAGAACTCAATTTTCAGCAGCAAAGCCTCAGAGTGACCCTACAAAAAGCCTACTGCTTCCACCAGAGGTATGGGCTTCAAAACATGTCCCTCTCTGGACACCAAGGAGGTTGGGACCCTGAGGTGGGAGGGGTGTACTGCTAAGATGGAATTTTTTGGCTCCTGCTGTAACTGGGGCATCCTGCCCCACCCCCAATTTGTAAGTCTCTTTGTTAATATAGAGGTTTTAATGTACAATTTGGTTTGAAAACGTGTTCCCTTTAAAAGAAAGAAAAAAAAACTTGCAGCCATTATTTTAATGTACTTAGACCAACCCCTTCTCTGTTTGCTTGGTAGAAATGGGTCTATGCAGTACGTGTCCAAACATGAAGGACACTTAGGTCAAGTCAGTAAGTAGGAAAGAAATCCCAGCTGAGCCTTCAATGAAATAGGTTTGGAAACCTCATTATTAGAGGTAAAAAAATATATATATCAAGGTTTACTTTCCAGTAACACAAGTTTTGACAAATGCGATCCATCAAATGATGGATATAGATGGCATCTTGGACAAATGACCCCTATGCCCCTATTATTAATTCAGAAATCTGACCTCATTTGCTTATCCATTCACTGGTCATGGAGTGCCTGTCCTATGGAATCGGGGACAATGCTGTGTACAGGAATAAGAAAGCTGAGATTCTTATAGAGATTTTAGAAGTTTATTCTTCCCTTGAAACCAAACTTTTTTTTTTTTTTTTTTTTTTTTTAAGGGCTCACCTTTGGGAGAGGAAGAGGAAGTTGGGTCTAAGGTCAGACTGGAAAGAGGTTTGGGAACTGAGCCTTGGGTCCATTCACCTCAAATACGAAGCCCCTGACCCTGTTGCTTGAGCTAAGCTCTGGGAGGCTGAMGCTGGCCTCTCTGCCTGTCCAGGGAGAAGATTGCTACCCTGCCTCGCTCTGGCCACTAAAATCTTACTTGTCTGTCAGTATGTTCTTTGCCTACAAGGACTTGGCATGGTGAGTTAGGGGCATCTTCACAACTCTGCCAGCTGGGCACGCCCCATCTTTGGCCATGACCTTCAGAAGCCAAGAAGAGACCTCATGCCAAGCAACTCAAGCTGGGAGGAGCTGGCCCTCTCAGTGACGTGTCAAGGACTCCTTGGGGAACTGGAAATCTCGTTTTCTAGACTTGAGCATGCTGAGTGGCTTCCGGAAGATGGGTTGACCCACCTGGTTCTCATACCTTCGCCTAATGGAATGGGGCTAAAATGGATCCTTCTAGAGGAATATCAGCATTTCTACCTCTGGAAGGACTTGTGAAGGTGAGGTTAGCGGCTGTAACACATGAATTCTTAGTGGCAAAACAAAATAAATGTTGATTTCTTTTCATGTCCCTGTCCATGGGGTGACTCTGGTCAGGAGGCCTCTCCTGTGGCCATGCAGGGACCCAAGCTCCTCCTATATATGGCTCCGCTCACCCCTTTATGTTGCAATGATGTTTCCAAAGAGGGCAGCAGAACAGGCCTAGTAAAGGAATCCACCAACTCAAGAGGCTTCAAAACATTTCAGCTGGAAAACGGGAAATGACGGAGAGAAGAAGCTCTCGTGGAAGGGACTTTGCATCCATCGCACCAACCTTCCCAGGTGGAAGCCAGTCACGTGGCTGCGTCTAAGTGCAGGGCATTCTGGGAAATGTAGTYCAACTGTGTGGCAAAGAGGAAAGAGAACCTTGTTTGCTCAAAGTGGAGAGCCCTTTGGGCTTGAAGACACTGTGCTTAGTTAGAAGGCAGGGCCTCCTCGCTGCCTTCTAACCAAGCCCAGTTTCTTCATACCCAACTGGCTCAACACTTAGCTATGATAAGGGTTTAAACTCATAACTTTTGACCTATCCAGGGGCATCCCTGGGTCTTGCAATGGCCCAGCATACTTTATGATGAGGTGCACCCATACAGCCGGGTGTTCCCAGGAAAAGCCCATTGATGCCTGGCATGCATTCAGTTGGTGTCCACTCTGACTGGTGCCCCAGCTGGTATAGTACATTATATAGTCATCCTAGTTGTCATGGTGCAGATGACAGAAGAGAATATGAGGTGGCTGGAGGATGCGTGCTACGGTTCCAAAGACACACCACTTTGTTCAATAAAGACAGCATTTTTTTTTTTATTTTAAAATTCTGCATCTGAAAACACAGTATGACAGAAAGCGTCTATATACACCTGCAGTGTTTTTGGTATGATACAGTATTTAATACATCCACTCTTTTCTGCAACAGATTTTGCTTTGTCAGACAGAAACAAACTCCCCTAGACAAAAGAAAAATACAGCTAAGGCACAATTTCGTTGTTTTTCTGCTAAACAAAAAGAAAGAAAAGGTGCAAAAAAATGAGCAGGTAATGCAATTGGTTCTGAGAATCACATTCTACCTTGAGGAAAAGCATTCGGATGGTTAGAACTTTGATTATTGGTCAAATTTCAGATAGTTCCATCTCTCTTAAAATACTCCTTTAAATAAATAGCAAAATATCTACATCTTTCAGCCTGTGCCAAGTGGATTCTCTTTTTTTAAAACTTTATTTACAGATTCTCTCTCTTTTTTTTTTTAAATCAACACATTACAAAATATTTTTTTTCTGTACAGTCTTATGCATATTATGATCTGTAACAAAATAGTTATTTTTAAAAACTATATCACCACATGTCTTTGAAAACAATGAGGGAGACAGTAATAACTTATCGAGAGGCCTCTAAAACAAGTACCCAAATCAATGCTATTGACAACGTAATATCTTAAAAAAGAAAGAGACAAGAAAGAGTACAAAGACAATGGAACTCAATTCCAGTGAATTTCCTATGAAAACCCTGGGATTGTCTTTGGCCTCCGTCAGCGCTTGTGACGGAGGGAGTCGGGAGTGGAGGCTGAAGGTGGGGAGAGGAGGGTCCCTTGGCGAACGCGACCCATCCGCTGGGACTARTGAATACCACCACTTTCCAGGCAGGAAGGATGAAGAGATCACTTGAGAAACTCTCCTGATGGACCCTTGAGTGAAGTCCGTAAAGTCACCCAGTCCTGGGTTGGGGAAATGCCAGGAGGCCCCTGCCGGTCATCAAGCCAGTCCCCTACAGGAACACGGGGACCCGGAAGGGCTTCGGGAATCAGCTGAGGCTTAGACGAGCACCCGAGCCTTCATTGTGCCCAGAGGAAAAACATGAGGACATTTTATTTTTCCCTTTAAAGACGACAGGCGTGAGCCATTTCTATTGCACCTGCAGACTGCAAATGGAGGGCCCCGTCCAGGGAGGCCCGCCCGGAGAGCTTGGTGATGTGCCTGCTCCTGTGAGGGTGGTAGAAACTCTGGGGGAGAGGATGGTGAGCTTTCCAAAAAGAATTTTAAGGCCACATTTCAAAAAGGAGAAACCTAAGGCTTTTGGGGGTGGGGGATGAGGTTGGATGCAAGGATGTGGGGTCAGGAGGAGCAAAAGTCGGAGGAGGATGCMGAAAGGACCAAACGGCATCCGGGGTGGGTGGCAAGGGGCAGGACCGCTTCCCGGTGGTGTCCTAGGCAGAGGCAGTTGGAGTATTCCCAGCCAAGTGGGGAGAGGAGAGGCCCCTTTCTCCCTGCGGGGGACTTGGCAAGAACAGAACCAGAGACCACAGGAGGGGCCGTCACAGGTGGGGCAGGAAGGCCCTCCTCGGGTCTAAGAGGGTCCTATACAGTATCTTGTTTGCAAGGTTAAAAAAAATAATACTTCTAAGTTAGTGAAAGAGAGAGAGAGAGAGAGAGAGAGAGAGAGAGAGAGAGAGAGACAGAGAGACAGAGAGAGAGAGACACACAGAGAAATAATTTGCATAGATCGTACATTCAGCTCCAGCAGGTTGGGACACCTTCCTTCCCCCCACCCCCAGGTAAACTTCTGAGCAGACACAATGAGGTAGCGCCTGTGGTTGACCCATGGGCAAAGTAAGGTAACTGAGGCAGAAGCTAGGGGACACCCCGTGAGCAAGCACGGCTCAGGGCGGTTTCTGAAGAAGCTTCCAGAGGTGGCAAGATGGTGGCCAAGACTTGGGATGTGGAGAGAGACTGGCTGTTTCCCACACCACCCTCTTCCCCTGGGTCCCTGCCGTTTCTGCCTGGTCTGATGGAATCCTGTGGGGCGTGGACCCAGGGGGACGAGGACCTCTGCGTGTCCACTAGGGGCAGCAGTCCAGAGCTCCAAATGGTGTTTCTGTTCCCTTCTGCACAGTGGGTCTTGGGACCAGGATTGCTGAACCGCCAGCCCTCCTCTGTGGGACCGTCTGTTTAGGAGGGGACAGAGCAGCCACGGGTCCCCGTGCCCTTCAGAATTCAGCCCCAGCGACGGCCTTTCTCCAGTGCTAGCTCTTTCCCCCTCTTCCAGCGGGAAGTGTTCACCTCATGGAGCCACTTCCCAGAGAGCAGGGATGGCTGCTAGTGCACAATTGGAAGGATGGAATTATTATTATCATTATTTTTTTGACTCACACTCGGTTTAAAAAACAAAACAAAACAGCCGACATTGAAAAATCAGATTTTCTCAGAAAAATCTCGATTTCTGGTTTCCCTGAACCAAACTGGAAAATTCCGCCACACGGAGCTTTTCTTGCAGCTGGATGGGCCACATGCGTGACAGACCCTGCCCTCACCACGGCCTGGGACTCACCTCCGAGGTCTCACTCATCTCTGTCCCTGTCCTGGACCTCAGGAAGCGTCTGCGACCCTACCGCAGGGTGGGCCTGTGCTCTGGAAAGCCACCTGGGCACGCTCAAAGCTGGACCCCTTCACGGCGGTTTCCAGGACACCCACCCCGCCTCGAGATGCTGCCAGGGACCTGGTGGCCCAGACCCCTCCCCCCCGTGAAGCTGTTTGTGCAAGGGGCTTTTCTCATGCCCCTCATCTGGTGGCTCCTGCTCCAACCTACTCTGGACCTTCCTGATGGAGAGGTCGAGGTCCACCAGTGCCCTCCTGAATGGCAGACTAGAGAACCACATGCCCAGCAGGTGCCCAGGGTGGCAGAAACCTGACCCTAGGGGGTGCGTTGCTGGGTGGTGTGGCTCATCTTCTCTAAGCTCCTTTTGGATTTCGAAATGGACCAGGAGAACGGAGCCAGGGTTCCTGAGCCCACCAGGGAGGCTGATTTCTAAAGGGAACAAGGAGTGGCTCACCTCCTCCTGGGAGGCTTTCTGGTCCATGCAAGGCCCCTGGGAGGTGGGATTCGGGAAGCCGGCTGCCTCGGGACTCTCCCTGCCCCAGTGTGCTGGTGCGTGCTGCTGGCACAGACAGCTCCGATCCACCATCTCTCCCCTGCCTCATGGCTGACACCCAAGTCTCACCTTCCAGAGTTTTCAGAGTCCCCAGAGACCCCTGCTCCAAGCCCTTGAAATCTTCAGACAGCCTCCAAGCTGCCTGGCCAGGGGCCTCAGACAAAGAAACCGTTGTCGGGCAGGTTATCAACCCAACAACAACAACAACAACAACAACAACAGGAACCGACACTGTTTTCCTCCCTGGGAAAACATCTCCTCCTGGCAAACTGCACTAGGCTTTGTTTGGAATTTTTTTTTTTTTAATCAAATGTGACAGCTGCAACATTCCTCTCATGATCCCCAAACAGCGGAGACAAAAGAACACCCCGTGTGACTTCTCAGCCCCCAAAATCAGTTGCAGCGAGTGGGGAGGGAAGCCTTGGGGAGGTCCCCAGAGCAGGCCAGTGGCGGCCAGGCCTCCAGGCGTCCAGGATGGAGAGTYGGAAATGTCAGAGGGTCAGGAGGGGCCGGGTGCTGGAGTTTGTCGCCTGCTCTGTGTACCGGGGCCTGCTGGGGCTGCGTCCCTAAAGCCACCAATAATAATACTGCAGAAGAGAGTCCTGGCAGCTCAGCRAGGAGCGGGAGGAGAGCTTCCCAGCTCCAGGAACACACCGGCCTGAGGCAGAGGCTGGGGACAGAAAGAGGCCCGGTCACTGGCCCCGTGGTCCCCTGGGACTGGATGAAACCATCTAGGGACCCTCCAGGCTTTCTGAGAAAGAGGCTCGGTTCCCAGAGCCACCTGGGACCACAGCCGTCTTTCTCTGGACTCTCCTGGCTGGGGCTGACCACACCCGTCCCCCTGCCGAGAAGCCTGTTCACATCGAGGCCAGCACGCCCACTGCCCGTCCTGCAGCTGTCACTACTCTGTGCTAAGGGCAGGGGAATGGAGCGAACACCTTAACAGGGGAAAGCCAGACGCCGGTCGTCCCCAGGGCTCCCACCCGCTGCCAGGGGACAACACCGTCTGAAGCTCTCTCCTAGTGTCCAAGGCCCCTGCTTTACYCTGAGGACAGGGAGGATGTCAGCAGACCCAGAAAGATAGAAACGGAGAGAGGGACAGACAGACAGACAGACTAGGGGGTGGCCGGGAGGGAGGGGGCCTTTCATGAAAGAAAGGCGGCTTCCATCAGGAGGACAACGTGGACAGGCTGTGACCCACAGCACTGCTGACCAGTCACGGATGGAAACACACAAATCATAAATACCTAGTGTCCCTTCTCCGTGTCCTCCGTGTCCTGCCTCGCTGGGGGGGTAGGGGCCATGTCKCAGGAGGTCGGTCGCCCAGGTGAACCGCAGAACCCGCTAGCCTAGGCCAGGGCAGGTGCCCACACCAGCTCCCCGGGGGACCCACGGGAGCGTCTGCTCCCAGGGCACCCTGTCACTCAGGAGAGGTGGGATTTGAGGAAGAAGAGGGGCCTTGGGGGRCCCCCAGGGAGCTATGTCGGGGGGTGTCCTCTAGAGGGCACATGGCAAGGAGACCCTTCGAGTCTCTGGTCACTCAAGCAATTCGAATCACACTATTTTTGAACCTTGGGACCACCTTCCCGCTTTCGAGACTCAGCCTTCCCAGATGGGCCTGTCGGCGGTGGCGTGGRCGAGGGGGGACATGGGGTTCCTCGGCGACTCGGAGATGCTCTTCCCTGCGAGGAGCCTGGTCCGTGYCTCTGGTCCCGCCACCCGCACGCAGCACCAGGTGTGCGATTCACAAAGGGTTGGGCGCCTGACCTCGGAACGGAAGGGCCGTGGCAGGTAGGGGGTGGGTATTGCTTTGCTGCCCAGCTCGGGAGACCTRCCCAGGCAGCGCCTCGTGACTTCCCTGGCCACCGTCCCCACCATTCCCAGGTTGAAGAGCCTAAGAGGTCACGGTCTCCGTCTCCCAAAAACCAACGGCTAGGACTCGAGGCTCGTGCTCGCCAACCTCATTCCACCCCCACGACCCTGGGCGGCCGCCTCCATGGAGGGTGGCCTAGACTCATGGCCACTGGGCAGTCGCACTTCTTGGCCAGGTCCCATCCACAGGCTTTCCTGCTTCTCTATTGATCAGGGAGAACAGCTCATGCCGAGCCCATCTCCCTTGGAAAGGCCTGAGACTGTGACCTCGGTGACTGGCCACATCAGAGCTGGCCCGGGGCACTCCCAGACGAAGGAGCAGAAAGCTAAGCAGAGGGCAGCAGGAGGCCAGACCTCCCTCTGGGCAGTGCTTGTCRAACTGGGTTTTGCAGAGCCCTTGGGTTTGGAAGAGGGACCTTGAAAGATGTCCTGGGCACAGGGCTAGCCTGGCGGGCTGAGCCTGGGGAGGGGGCCTCACCCCTSGGCTTCCCAGGGGCACAGCCTGGATTTCCTCTGCGCCTGAACTTCCACCTACCAAGTCAATCCAGTTCTGCTGCTCAAAATAAAAGTGTGAGATCACTTGTGCAGGATGAGTGCAGGTCACAGGACGGGAAGGAGAGGGACCTGCAGAACTTGGGGGACCCGCCAGCAGAGGTGAGACCACCCTGGTGCCAGCCCCAGAAGCCAGCTCGCCAGGTGCAGGTTGGCTCTGCTCTGACCTCCAGACCCTTCGCCTCCTCTGTCCGATGGCCAGGAGAGCCCCGGGCACAAGGGGCACCCCAGGGTGGGAGGCCGGGGTCCCGCTGCACCAGCCCTCCGGCTGCCTTCCCGTGGAGATCACGCGGTGGCCCTCCCGTGGCCAGTGCTACCTCAGCCGGCCGTCGGGTTTGACGGCCCCCAGCTCTGACTTGGGGTCGGGGCTGAAGGAGCTCCAGGCTGTCTGGCTGCAGGTCTGCATGACGGGGCAGGCGGTGGGGCCCGTGGCGCAGACGTCCATGGTGGTCCACATGCCGCCCACCAGCGAGTCCAGCCAGCCCTCCAGCGCTGCGCCCGTGGAGGCGGCGTGGCGGGCAGCCTGCTCGACCTGGGCGGGGCTGATGGGCAGGCTGAGGACGGGGTTCAGGCTCTGGAAGCTCTGCTCCATGTAGGCACTGCGGGGGGGTCCGTTGTGCAGCTTCAGCGCCTCCTCTGCAAGCCAAAGGGAACCGTGAGTCCAGGAGCCGCCGACTGGACACCTGCCTCGGGGCACCTGGCACGGGGGGGGGGGCACTGGGCAGCATCTAGGTAACTCCTGTGACCATCTCACGGGAAGTGCTTGAGCAGTCCCATTGGACAGGTGGAAGTGCCCTTCAGGGACATGGCCCACTTAATGCAGGGCACCCTCCACCYGGGATTCAGTGGGCCTATGTTTATGGGTTAGTGGCCTCTCGTTCACTCCTTCAACACAGGTGGGATTTTTTGGTTTTTTTTGAATTTTGTTTTTGGTACCAGAATTGAACCCCAAGGGCACTTAACCACAGAGCCCTATCCCCAGCCCTATTTTGTATTTTATTTAGATTCAGGGTCTCACTGAGTTGCTCAGCGCCTCGCTGTTGCTCAGGCTGCCTTTGAACTCGAGATCCTCCTGCCTCAGGCTCCTGACAGGCACTTAAAAACAGATGTTTTTAAGCATCTACTTTGTGCAGAACATTCACTCAACACTTACTAAACATCTCTTATCTGCAAGGCATTGATTGATTGACTGATCGGATAGAGATACAATAAATGCCTCTTACTCCGGGTACCGGCTGCCTTCTGGGTGGCGGGATGAACCAGAGAGAGGGGTGATGTTACGGTGGCAGCAACAACCACCAAATGAACAATTAGGTAAACGAGGTCATTTCAGGCAGAGATAAAGGTCATGAGGACCATAACAGGGTACGGGGTCACAGTCGACTCCAGACAGCCCGAGGGCCGGATCCAGCCCACCGTGGGTGTTTATAAATAAAGTTTTATTAGAACACAGCCACGCCCACTTGCTCACRGATCATTTGTGGCTGCTTTTGTGCCACCCTAGCAGAGGTGAGTTGGGACAGAGGCTGTTGGGCCTGAAAAGCTGAACGTATTTTACTCCCTGCCTGCGCCCTTTAGGGGAAGACTGTGCTGAGCCCCTGGTGTCTACCCACATGGGGGTGGGTGGGAGAGACCTCCCCCGGGAGGTGACGTCTGAGCAGAGTGCAGATCAGTGTGCAGGAAGGGGGCAGMTCAAGATTCTGGGGAAGAACTTCCGAGTAGAGAGAACAGCCGGGGCGCAACCTAACTGAGCACCTCCCYCTGGGCACAGAGGTCCCAGGTATCAGAGCCAGGGTTGAACCCGGGTGTGGACCTCAGATCCCGGGCTGCCGCCTGCCCACCCCTGACTCTGGATACACCAGGCATTGCTCAGTGGAAGGTGCTGGTGTGTGAGCTCCCCTGGGAAGCAGGGCATTTGAGCCAGAGGGTGGGTGGAGGGGAACGTCCTTGTGATAACTCCACYTTGTTGAGCACCTACTGCGYGCCAACTGTTCTGTGAAGTGCTTCATGCAAGAGCCCAGATGTGACAATCTTGTCTGAGTCCCCACATGCCACAAACTGGGTGTGTGGCTTCTGACTTGGACTCCTGGTGCCTCCGTTTCCTCCACCGTGGAAGGAAGAGGGCACTCACGTCTCCCTCAGCTCTCTCTTGTTTGTGAGGATTCACTAGGCTGGCTGGGAGACAGTGCTCAAAGTGGCACCTGGCTCATATTCCACGCTAGGATTATTACTGTGGGTTTTTTGTTAGTCTGCGATCCTCCCATGCACAAGCTGGGTGTTCCTGTCTTGAAGAAGTTCACATTCGTGGCCTGTTTTGGAGCCAATGACAAGAASACATCTTTCTGAAAAAGTGTTGGCCAGTGAGGCTGGCGAGTTTTGTTCCACCAGTCGGGTTTGTATAGCATGATGGCTAGGATCAGAAGACACCTCCTTATGAGACAGCACCGTGCTCAGAAGACAATGCTTCCTTTGTGCTTACCAAGAGCTGTCCCCACTAAGGTAACCAGGAGAGCCTGCGACAGCATGCCACTTTCTTCTAATAGGTGGGTCCTGAGCGGGGAAGGAGGAAACAGAAAGACCCTCGGCCTGCCTCATTTCTAAAAGCAACGAGAATACTAGCTGAATTCAGAACATGCATCGACCTTGGCCAACACAGACAGGAACGCCATTCCTTCCATTCTAAATGCCCTGGGGAGCCGGAGGGGAAAGAGGAGAGAGACCAGGAYGCACTGAGCATATGCTGGAAGCTGCTGTGCTTATAAATCTGGTCCTAGCTCACTTCTCAGATTGGCAGACAGGGTGGGCAGTGCCAGCACCACTTGCCAGGAGAACAGAGCCTTCTGTTCTGTTCTGGGAGGCGGTGGGGTGTCCAGACTGACCAGGGGCAGCACATTCCAAGCGAAAGGAGCAGCTAGCGAATGCGCAAATGTTGGAAAYGCAAATCGTGGTGGATGCAAGAAACCCTTATGAAAAATGAGGTTAATGTGGGGAACGCGGTTACRGTACCAGCTCATGATTCTCGCCTCTATAATTAAATTTGCCTCAATTCCACCTCATCAGATTTCTTGAGATTACTGGGGACGCATCAATAGCAAATTACTCRTGATGAATCATTTTACAAATTGGATGGCTCCTACCTTCGTGTTCCCTGTCGTGAGAACATCGCTAACACCTACGATCACCGACACCAGGGGTCTGCTCCCGGTGGGGGAAGACAACCCCTAGGTCTTCCTGGGACCGGGGATGAAGAGCTCTGCCTTCCTCAGAAATTCCAGCAGAAAACATTGGAAAGACCAGGGTCACAGTGCACGGCCCGGCTGTCCCGGGGTGGGAGAGTTCGAGGACATTTCTGATGGGCTGTCCCATCAGAATGCACACAGGAGGATGCTGATCACATCCTTCRCCTCCACATCTGGCTCTGAGGACCCTGAGGGGTGCCAGGAGTGCAGCTAATCAACAGGGCGCTTGATTCTCCACTCTGCCACGGTAGCCCAGAGCAGAAACACACACTGTACAAATGGATGGGTGTGGCTGTGTTTTTAGTTTGTTCCAATTAGTTATCCGTGGCTGTATTCTTATAAAAGTATCCTTACAAAACCACATCGTGTTTGGCCTGGGGCCTTGTGCTTGCCCACCTCCGATGTACGGATTTCCTTATAGATTCCGAACATGAGTACTTTTTGAAAGCAAATATCTTCCACCAGGGGGGTGGTTTCTRTTTTTACTGAAGGTATTATATTTTTGATGAATAGAATTCCTATGTTAATTATTGTTTTCTAAACAGCCAATAAGACGTGCTGAAACCTAATATCTCCCCGGGCTCATCTCCCGTTTGTCATAAACACGCTCAGACCTCCTGAAGTCAACGGGGAGGGGACCTAATAAATAGGTACCGGGAGGGAATTCCGTGGGGCCCTAGGACAGACAAGTAGGAGAGACTGGGGAAAAGAGGAGAGGAGGACTTTAAGTGGCTGTCCCGTGCCCCGTGCCAGAGCATGCTCTCTGCCAAGGAGAAGGACCTGCCAGGGACTCTCTCCCCCTGCCGCGGGGACACTGGAACACTCACCTGGTTTGATGGGCTGCCTGTTTGAGAAGGTCAGAGGTGCAACAAGGAATTTGGTTTCTGCAACCGGCACCCAGTGGTGGAGAATTTTCACTGTCCAGACCCCGGGCCTCAGGGGCAAGTTCAAAGGGGGCTTGTAGTGGGTGAACTCGGCGGTGGACTCAATCAGGATGTCGTAGGTGGCTGCGATGACATTGACAGGATCCACCCAGATGACGGTCACRGTCACGTTGGGCCCCTTCCCCCACTTCTGCATTCCCACTGGCTCGTCCATGGGCCCCAGGAGACTCCCGAAGTTGCGGAACAGCCGCTCCTTGGCGTCCCAGTCGGTGCCGACCTGGAACGGGAGAGCGAGTCCTGAGGCCGCTGGTGACCCTGGGGGCTGGGTCCCAGAAGGACCTAGCATCCTGGGTAGGTTTCATGGACCCATTTCAGACGAGGAGACCGAGGCGCTGAAAGTCACCTACTCCAGCCTGCACAGCTGGTCAGCAGATGTGAGCCCTGCCTGGGGATCCCAGGGCCTGCGGTCCTCTCATGAAACCTTGGGGCCTCCTGGGCTCCGTACATGGAATATGCTTTGAAATCAGTCCCCTCAAACAGGCACTAAACACACGCATGAATGAATACCTRCTTTCAAGACATTCCCCAAATTCACACCAAGCCACTCCATGGGTGTGGCTGGTTTCTCCTGGGTCATGGGTTTTCCAAACTGCAGGCAGCTAGTTCCTGTAGTGTTCGAGAGGGGAACTCGGGCTTCRGAGCCCCCCTAGCCTGGCCTGCCCTCCGCCTCCACCTTCCCATCACCCCCGCTCGCCTGTTTCAGACCTTCAGATCCATCAGGCCTGTTCCCACCTGGGTCCCCACTCCACCTGTCCAGCCTGCAATGCCATCACCTCCCAGCACAGCTGGCCCTTCACTTCCGAGGTCGCCTGGCACCCTCTCTGACCCCCAGATCTAGAATGGCCCTCGGTCACTGTCACTGCTGCTGCTGATCTGCTGAGCATGACCCACCAGCGGCCGTCATTCCCTCCCACCCCTTGTACCAGAGGCCTCCTGTGAACAGCCTTCCTTATTTGACTTTCTCTGCTTTCTTGGTGCCTATTATATTACTGGGCTCRGCACACAGCAAGCGCTTAAGCAATGTCTGTCTGATCAAGTGAATGACTTGACAAGAACAGGGACTAACTGCCTCGATGGCCAGCCCTGAACTCCTCGGCTATTTCAGATCACATTAAATGAGGGGTTTTCTGACTTGGAAAAAAAAAAGTGTCCATCTCCCTGGTGAGGATCTATCTGCCGATGGCACCGGGGCACATTGGTGGCAGAGGACCAGCCAGCACCCCAGCGTCTGCGMGTGTCGCAGGTCGAGGGGGAGGTGTGCCCGGATGCACCCTCCTGGAGAAGAGCTCGGGTGCCAACAGGGGCTGACCGAGGTCCTCCTTGGCCTTGCCTGGAGTCACTGTCCACTCTCCACCCAGGACACGGAGCTGGGCGGCTAGTACACACGGAGGGCTTAAGGCACCAGGGACCGTCTGGGGCATCGATTCCTCCCGTGTTCCCGAATCCAGAAAGGAGAGGGCCTGTCGGTGTCCTCTAGCTCAGAAGTACGTGACGTGCCATGGGCAGAAGCGCAGGGGCCGCCAGGGTGGCACCGGGGGCTGCAGTTCTCCCGATGCTCTCAGGGGCCGGGTCCCTTCACTCACTCACCCGCACGCACACTCCAGCCAGGAGCCCCGACCCCCTGGGTGGCTGGCGCACACGCAGGGTCAGTGCAGCTTTCCACCGGCTTCYGTGGACCAGGGGCGAAGCTTGAGCTGGGGGAGGGGCGGGGCCACGGGTGGACGTCCCCCCAGACTTGAGAAAGCCCCACCCCTCKCTGGTCTGGCCAGGGCCTGCCCCGCCCCCTCTCCTCCCTGGCCCTCACCCCAGGCGCTGTGCAGGGCTCTCGGCCTCTCGGGYCAGGGTCCTAGGGCTCTCCGAGGCACAGGCTTCCTATCCTGCCAGCTCCAGACTGCAGCCYGGGGGCTGCTCCTGCTCAGAAGCTCTTCCCCGTGGGAGGCACCTGGTGAGAGGAGGCCTCTGGGCCCTGCAGCGCGCGCAGGAGGCCGGGACTTCTCGCACTCCTCACCGCTGCGCCTCAGAGCCCAGCAGAGTGCAGGAGACCCTCCCATCCGCCTGTCAATCATCGGTCTTCAGTCCATCTACTCCCTATCAATTATCCATTTCTCACCTATACATCTCACGTGGATGTCTACCTTATCTATTATCTCTCTACCTATCCACAATCCATCAATCATACGACTGTCCGTTACGTCTCGGTGTTGAACTTGAACGCATGCTGAATGCACAGGGCTGAGGACCCGGCTTCCCCGGGCACCCAGGCTCTCCACGCCGACCTTCCAACAGACTGAAGGATGAACTGTCACAGAACCACCTCGAGATCACACAGAGAAAGGGATTTGTGATCAGACAGGGGCTGTGGGGACCCTGGAGAGCACTGTCCCCAGCTCACCACAGAAATGGAAATGAACCGTTGCCTGAAATCTGAGTTCTAAAGACAAGAGAAGGCAGGCAGGTGTTGGGGAGCAGCTGACTGAATCTCTGCGTCTTGCTCCTAGGTTGAGAAGGGGGGCGGGGTCAGTCTAAGAAGGAGCCCACTATGGTCCCATCCGCTGTGACCTCTGAGATCTAGGGAGCCTCAGTGTGGAAATCCACAGCCATTCCCTGCAAAAGCATCAACTGCCCCAATTTAAATACCGCTTCAGACCTAACATGCTGTTCCCCAGCTGCCAATCCCAATCCAAAGCTCCCCATCTGGACCTTTCCCTGTTGCCTCTTGAGGCCTGGCTTCTGCCATTCTCCCCCTCACTGTGCTCTGGCCACACTGGCCTGGCTGCCCGTGGGGTATGCCACACTCCTTCTGAACCTCAGGGCCTTTGTACCTGCTCTTTCCCCTCTGTCTTGTGCCAGGACCGTTCCMGATCTGCCCATCTGAGAATCTCCTTTACAGATTTCAGCTCTACATTTTTCTCTTTTGAAGAGCCTTGTGGAATGAACCACCCTCTGGGAGGTGATCCCCATCAACCTCCCAAGTCCTCAGCAGTCCCACGAATGAAGTCTTATTTTATCTGTGACACTTGTCATTAGCTGAGCAGCTTCTGTTCTTTTATTCTCTCTCTCGCTGGCTGTCTGCCCCCCTAGACTGCATTTTATGACAATAAGGGCCTCATCTGTCTGGCTCACTGCTGTCCCTCGGGAGTCTAGCACGCTGCTGCTGGTGGCCTGGAGAAAGATTAGGCATCTCTTCTCCAAGCCAACAGCACAGGATTCTCACGGACTGGAGAAATGTGACACTGGCCACCTGCAACAAGCCAGACCCGGACGCCAGGCCAGGCCCCAGTGCTACTGCCAGGGAGCCTCTCTGTAGCTCAGGGCTGGAGCACTCACTGAGCGCGTGCAAGGTCCCAGGTTCTATCCCCAGAACTGCAAAAAAATTTTAAAAAATACCACAAAACATAAATAACACGAGAAAACTTTAAAAATTCAAGATTAGGACTTYGTGGGTCCCATGTCATTATTTCTGCCGGTGATCTTGGTGGCTCCTCTCCAACGCTACCGGACCTACCCAGGAACCCTTGCAGATCACTAGCCGTGGAGTGGCCAACATCGTTTGTCACTGCCGGAGGGACCTAGTCATCCAACCACAGGCTGATAAACAGGGAGAGCCCAGACGCCAGGCATCCATCTCTTTAATGGGACATTAATGTCTTCAATGGGCCACGTGGGCCCCCAGCCCAGGATCCAACTGGGGCAGCGTTTAATTACCCCCTGACTCACCAGTAATTTATTATGTTCAAATCCAGCCAATCCATTTGGAGCCTGAGTTGAAAACGTGGGCCTAACAAGAAAGTCACCCGTGCCTGTTTGACATGGGGACATACTGAGAGGGGGACAGGACAGCAAGGCACGGCCACAGTGGGCTGGGGGASGACCAGGAGGTGAGACCCCACCTCCATCACACCCCAGTCCTTCAGGCTCTTCRTATTCTAGATTCAGATTCTTCATCCTTAACCCCGTGGCCAGGGTCCTGCACCCGCCTGAGCTGCGTACTGACCTGGGGAGGACAGACGTTGGATGCTGGGGTTCCCRGGGGTCACACCACCCTCCCTTCCAGCATCGCTACCCACGGGCTTTGGCCCATTCCTTCAGAAATCACATTCGGCATCTGTAAGTGGCTGGCRCTCTCCTACAGATGATGTACGTGGGGACACGGCAGGGAACAGGAGGGTAGCGGATCGGCTCTCTTGTGGTCAATCAATAAATGATCTGATAGATCAACAAGGAGCGTCACCTGGCAAATACCAAGAGACGGACAGTTCCACAGGGAGGAGTCGGGTGGGTAATGTAGCCACTGCCGCCCGAGGAGGTGGCCAGGGAGGCCATTCTGAGGGGACACTGTTTGGATCTAGATTGGAATGACTGAGAAAGAAACCAGGCAACCCCGGGACTGTGTTCCAGGCTGGGGATGAGCCTGCACCAAGTCTGAGGCCAGAACAAGTGTGGTGTGTTTGGTAAAGGCACAGAAGCGTGAGCAGGGAGGAGAGCAGCACTGGCCAAGGCTGGACAAGAAAACAGGCTGGGCCCCATGGGGCCTTCTGGGCCTGGAGGCAGGGCCGGGGGTGAGGATGATGCTGGTGAACCCGCATCCCCAGCCAGAGAAGTAACTAAAGGCTGATGCTGTTGTGGGAGGGGAGACTGCATTTTATGGACCCACGATCCATGCATCAGTCCATCTGTCCATGCCTCGGCCATGCATCCATCCATCCACCATCCGTCTACTCATCCATGCATCCATCTATCCATTCATCATCCACCATCCATTATTCATCCATCCACCCACCCACCCATCCATCATCATTCATCCTTCCACCCATCCATCCATCCATCCCCATCTATCTATCCATCCATCCATCCACCCGTCCATCCACCATCCATCTACTCATTCATGCATCCATCTATCCATTTACCATCCACCACCCACCATCCATTATTCATCAATCCATCCACCCACCGGCATCATTCATCCTTCCACCCATCCATCCATCCACCACCCATGTCCTCATCCATCCATCCACCCATCTATCCATCCATCCATATACCTCATCCATCCATCCTCCCACCTGCCCATCCATCCATACATCCACCCACCCACCCACCCATCCATTCATTCATCCTTCCACCCATCCATCCATTCATCCTTTCACCCATCCATCCATCCATCCATCCATCTATCCATCTACTCATCTATCCATCCATCCATCCATCCATCCATCCATCCATCCATCCATCCATCCATCCATCCACTACTGTAGCCAAAGACTGATCTAGTGCTCACTTGCAGTCATTCCTATGCTAGGACCTGGGGTGGCATAAACACAATTAAACATAGTGTCTGTGGCCAGAGACCTGGGATCAACTTTGAGCTCTTCCACTTCCTAGCTATGATCCAGAAAACCACTGGATCTCCATCTGCCTTAATTCCCCGTCTGTAAGATGGTGTTCATGAGACTGTGTCCTTAGGAAGCTGGGTTGTTACGGGTGTCCTATGAACACAGGTTTAGAAGGAGTCCCTGGCTAGGACGAAACAAAGTCCCTGGCTCTAGTGTCCGGGGCTGCACAGTCTCACAGATGTGAGCTCATCTCTAGAGTCTGCAAATCCCTTCCTCCTCTTCTCCAGCTGCAAGCATCCAAATGGGGCAGAGCTCCCGGCCAGGGGGGTTGCCAAACCCCCAGGGTGACCGCGTCTGGCCTCTTACCTCAGAGAACTGCAGCCTCCCGAAGTCGCTGGGGGGGCTTGCAATCTTGAAGACTTTCTTTGGCATCACCCACGTCTCCAGGGTCTCAAGTTTGCTCACAGCCAGATTGGTAGCATGGTGCTTGACCAGAAAGCCCTGGAAGCGGTCAGCGAGGAAGTAGAGGTGGACAGATGCTGGGTGGCCCATTGGGTAGTACCTGAAAACACAGGCGATCGTGGGCCAGGGCCGGAGGCGTGTGGCATCGTCCCAACCCCCGCCACCCAAGCCCCACGAGCCTGTTCCTGAAATAGACCCCATTTACCCGGCACTTGGCGGGTTCTTTGCGCCAGTCTGGAAGCTGCTCCCTGTGCAGCTATGATGTCAGTGACTATGAATAACTTTTTTGCTGAGTTATAAATGTGAAACGTGCTGACTACAGGGAAGTCAAATCAAGAAAATAAAATTACTACTTTTGATGCCTCTTCCCATAAATAACGTCGATTCCGATATTTACTGAGTGCTGGGGCTGGGAGCGGCAATGGTGTGCAAACACGACTCCTCATGCATTTCCCTGCAGCCCACTCTTCTATGCATATATTTGCATAAATATTGCATCATGGAGATCGTAATGTACACACTGGCTGTATCCTGCTTTGGCTCCACAGGATTTCCTGAGCATATTTTTTTTCTTTTCTTTCTTTTTTTTTTTTTTTTAAGTCTCTGAAAACAAGAATGTGTACATGTGTTGTGCGATGCAAAGGTTTTCACTGGGTGGAGCACAGATTTTAGAGTCAGTCCCCATTGATGAGCCATAAATTTTTTTTCTATTCCAAATAAAGCTGCATTCGTCATTCTTGAGCCAAAAAAAAAAAAAATCATGTTTTGGAACCTCTCTGTCTCTCTCTCTGTCTCTCTCTCTCTCTCTTTCTCTCCCTCTCTCTCTCTCTCTCTCTCCATCTCAAGGGTCTCTGTAAGGTCTGACTTTATCAGAAATACCAATTTATACCCTCATTGCTCCTTGCCTCTGATGCTGTGCTGCTTCTTTAAAAATTATTGCCACTCTGAGACTCCTATGCACGCAAATGCATACACAAGCTTGCAGAAGTAGCTTGTTTAAAACACACACATCTTTGATCCGCTGAGGCCCGCTGGCTGGAGGGGTCAGGGAAGCTACTAAGCAGAGATGCCCAGAGGACAGGAGGGAGCAGGGAGCGGAGACGGGCCACGCTCGGGCGGCTCGGCTCCCCGTTCTTCCCTCCTACTTGGACAGAATAAAGCTCCTGCTCCTGCAACCAACGTTTAAATTGCACGGCACGAGGAGGATGCTGGTGGCTTCTTAATAATAGCAGTCCACAAATCACTGTCCCCGCTCGGCTAAATGCAGGCTTCCCTCGGGTTCCGATCTGGAGTTTTAAGTCTTTATGTCCAATGATGGCCGCGGGGGGGAAGCCGCCTTCCCGTGTGGATGCCGCTCCCGAGATCACCGCCTTGTTCCTGGGATGCCTCTGGGTTTGCACAAGCCGCCTGCGTGCCCTTGGGACGCTGGGTGTTCATGGCTCATGCCAGCTTCAGGTGCAGATGCCGCTAGGGGAAGGCTGCAGCCAAGTCTAGGCGGGAGCTTCTAAGAGGATGGAAATAGTTTATATCTGTTCTGTCCAGTATGGTAGCCGCTGGCCATGTGTGACGACTGAGCACTGGAAATGGGGCTAGTTGTCACTGAGGACATGCATTTTTAATTTTATATGAATTTTTTGGGGGGGAGGTACCAGGGATTGAACTCAGGGGCACTCAACCACTGAGCCCCATCCCCAGCCCTAGTTTGTATTTTATTTAGAGACAGGGTCTCACTGAGTTGCTTGGTGTCTCACTTTCGAGAAGGCTGGCTTGGAACTAGTGATCCTCCTGCCTCAGCCTCCCAAGCCGCTGGGATGATAGGCGTGCGCCACTGCACCTGCCTAATTTGATTTGATTTCAATGTAAACAGCCACTGTGGCTCTGACTCCGTCATGGGTGGCATAGATGGAGTCCTGGAAGTCTGTGGTCACCTGCACCAATGTCCCAAAGGTCCCTCAGCCTCTTGTATCCAGGTGACATTGCTGGCTTCCTTGCACCAGGGGGACAGGTCATTTTCCCACCTCTTGAGTTTGCTTTGGCAGGTGGCGGGAGGGGTGTCAGGCCTGTCCCCAGCCAGGCCTCCCGAAGTCTCCTGTGCTTCCTTGCTCTTGAGTGACCACCGCGAGAGCGCGCCTGAGCTAGCCTGCTGGAGGGCGGGACATGGGACCGCAGCCACTGCGGGTGTCCCAGCCGAGGCCGGCCTGGGTCAATCAGCCAGCGATTCCCAGCCAAGAGCCACAGAGCCACCCTACGGACCCGGAGCCAACTGAGGACGCAGGAGTGTGTTGTCCAGCCCCGATCAGGGAAACTGCCAGGCTGATCCACAGACCAGAGCTCCAGGAAATGCTTATCACTGCAGAACACGGACCACTTGTTCACGTGGCTGCTGTTTGATCCATGAACGTGCACGGTCAGAGTTTGCTCTGGAAGGTGGGGGCCGTGGAGGGAGGCAGAAAGGCAGGAGGGCTTTGCCTTGGGGGGTCAAAAGAGGGAAGTGTTTGCAGAAGAGCGGTCGCCCGTGTTGAGCGCTGATCAAGGTCAAGAGAACCATCAAGGTCGGGTTCCCTACACACCTAGGCAGCTCTCCCACTCCTCCCTCCCCTTCTTTCTACCATGGAACCCTCTTGTCTCTCCTCGCCAAACTTCTTACCTGGGCTATGAAGCCCTGCCTCTTTCTCTAGCCTTGGTTTCCTTCCCTCTGCTCCAAATCCACCACCTTCGAGCCACTGGCAGCTTATTTTGAATTCTTGAACAGAAGTTCCTTTCTGCCTCGGGGCCTTTGCACAGGATATTCTGTCTGCTGGGAATGCTCTCCTGCTGTTAAGTGCGCGGCTGGCTGGCTCTGTCTTACGTGATGGAGAGATCGTCCTTGTCTGCAGAACCCTAAGACACTAACTCATCACTGTCTCATGACTATTTTCATTCTTGGCAGAACAGCTATTTATTTCTATTTATGTGTGTTTTGCAGGATGGAACTCAGAGCTTTGCACATGCCAGGAAAGTGCTCCACCGCTGAGCTACCTCCCACTCCTGCAGGGTTTATTCTAATTGATTTGCTCCCGTTTGCTGGTGCTCCTAGAAAGGTTTCTCTAGAACCTTCTGAGGTACATCTAGGGAACAGGTAACCTGAAACAGAGCACAAAGCTCTGCGGGGCCTCCTCTTCACGTATTTGATACTTAGGTAATTAAAAAGGTTAGTTTTCTAAGAGTCAGAATCAAGAGGCAATGCAAGAGCCCGTAGGATACCACAGATGCATGCGTGTTTTGGGCCCAAGGTATTTTATTTCCCTTATTTAATTAGGAGAGTGACATAAAAATCTGGATTTCTGATTTCCCTTGAAAACTCAGGAGACGGCTTCGCAGCTCCAACTCTGCGTGGCAGCGGACCTGTATGGAGCTTGCCCTGACTCATTCGCAGGCTCCTCTTCCTAAACACAGGGCTTTGCCCACTGCGGGGCATGGAGGTCCCATCAGAATAAAAAATGAGGTAGAAGCCAAAGGATTCCAGGCCCGAGGCAGCTCGGTGGTTCCCTTCATCCCAGAACACGCACCGGGTGGACATCTCAACGAGGCTCAATAAATCGGGGTGTCTTCTGCCATGTCCCGTCGGGCGCTTATCTTGTACATTCTAGGAAGCTCCTGGTTGAAACTGCTCCTGGGTGACTCTCGGCTCCCAGGGGTGCCCACAGCACCGGGCACCGGGGATCCATTCTGTGGCTCAGGGATGTGGACTCTGCCCCAGGCGTGCTGGAGGGGAAGTCACGGTCTCCATGACCTTGAGCCAGGGCGCTGTGGCACTGCAGCCACACACAAAGGGGACGTTGGAAGTGAAGTCCCCAAACTTGCTGCTCCAGAGACGTGGGGGGTGGGGCTATCATKCGAAGCCCTTATAGAAGCTTCCCAGGGGAGGTGGCACCTGGGTGGCCCTGATGACTGGGCAAAGGTCGGCAATGCAGTGACAGCGAGGTCACTGGGTCAGCCGTGAGTGGCTCATGTAGCCAGTGACCACTGCACACCACACAGCAGGGTCAGGCTGACCAATTTCCACCGCTTGCTATAAGGGCACCTAGAACAGCAGCCAGGAACAGGAGTGAGCATCTCGTATGTGAAACTGTCGACCTAAGACAATATTCGATGGCTCCTGAGGTGGGTTTTCAATCATTTTCTACTTTAAACGTCACAGTACCATCTGGGGAATGATGATGATGATTCTCATTGTACAGAAGAAGACACTGAGGGTCAGAGAGGTTCATGACTTGCCTGAGGTCAACAGCTAGTAAATAAAGGTGAGTTCACAGTGCAGGTCCTGGGCTCCTAACCCATGCTGGTCTCCCTTTAAACCAAACCCCACAGGGAGACAGAAAGGAAARGGAAGGCTCAGAGAAATAAGGAGGGTATGGAAATGCTGGCAGGTTGGCAGAAACCGGGCTGGCTCTGCACAGAAGCAGACAGGAACCCTGTGTGTACTGACAGGGTTTAGGGGACAGAATAGTCCCTTTCCTCCCTCCCTGAGAAAAGGGGAGGGCGGGGCAAAGAGGAAGGAGCGGAGACAAGGGATGGAGGCTCAGTATGCATTTTTGTTGTTGCTACGCTGTTCAAAGGAGGCCGGAGGAGGAGGGGAACAAGGGAAGGAGAGCGATTGGAGACAGAGACAGATATTTGAACATTTGAGGCTGAAATGAGAGGACGTCTGAGGTTTGCTTCAAACTCCTCTGGGAGGAGGCGAGAAGGAGGCTCAGGTGTGGAGCTGGTTGGTTACCCGCTGGGCTGGTGGAGGGGAGCACGGGGTCCCACTCTCCTATTTTGTGCATGTCCCACACTTTCCATCATGAAAAGTACAAAAAAAATGTGTACTTTGTGACGGTGACCTTCCATTCAAGACGAACACAATGTGGACATAAAGCCTCCCTCTAAGATACATAGAGGAGAGGACCCAAGGCCACCAACAGTCAATTTAGAYCTGCATCCTGACAAAGAGGAAAGTCAAGCAGGGAGAGTGACCTCAGCTCAGCTGGAAGCCCCCCAGGCTGCGAGATCACTGGGGGACACAGGAAGAGACCAAGTGCGGGGTGGGGGTGCAGCCCTGGAAGAGGGGGTACCCTGATCTGCAGCTTGGGGCTTCCACTCCCACACCCCAGTACCCCCCAACCTCGGGCACCCCCAGACCCAGCCCCCCCCCCAGCCCCCGAGCGCCGCCGGCCACTCACCGGCAGCTGTTCTCGCCGTCCGTGTGCAGCGAGGCCTCCGCCCTGCGCAGCCCCAGGCGGGCGAAGGCGTGGTACAGCGACAGCGCCACGTCGCTCAGGCTGTGGACGCCGTCGGGCTCCTCGTACACGTTCTCCCAGTAGGCGCGCAGGCCCGGGGTGCCCGCCGGGTAGTTCCCGTACAGGTAGTAGTCCAGCTGCCCGATGATCTCCTGGTTCACCACCGCCTCGAACTTGCGCGCAAAGAAGGTGGGCCGCGCCGTCTGCTGCGCTCGGAGAGGAAGACAGAAAACCGCATCAGCGGGGGACCTCAGGCTGCACCCCGCGGTCAGGAGCAGGGCTGGCCCAAGCCCCAGCTCTGACACGGCATGGCCTCTCTGGTCTCGGTTTCCTCATCTGGAACATGGGTCAGAATGGAGCGTGAGAGGAGCTGGGCCAAGCCATCCAGGTAGAGAAGATGCAAACGAGGATCGCTCTCTCGTGCACCCTGCACACAAACCACCTCCAAACAGATCAAAGAGCTTCCTGCAAGACCTGAGAAGCTGAAACCACCCGGAGCAAAACAGGGGCACGCTTCAAGATATCGGCACAGCGACAATTTCCTGAACAGGACTCCAACAGCTCAGGCAACAGGGGCGAAAATTGACAAATGGGATTACCTCGAATTATAAAGGTTTCGCCCAGCGAAGAAAACAGTCAACAGAGCGAAGATTCAGATCCGGAAAGGGAGAGAAATCTTTGCCAGCCATTCATCGGAGGGAGGATGAACATCCAGGATATACAAAGAACCCCCCAAAGATAACAAGGGAACAAAGCAGCCAGTCAATAACCGGCAGCCGACCTGAAGGGACGCTTCTCAAAAGCGGAAATACAAATGGCCAATACATACATGAGAACACTCTCAACACCCGGAGCCCTCAGGGAAATGCTAATTAAAACTCCAMGGAGATGCCATCTCACCCCAGGCCAAAGGGCTACTATCAAGACAAAAACCCAAACCAACAAATGACAAAGGCCGTCAGAAGATGTGGGGGGAAAGTGACACTTCCCTGCAAAAAACGTCACACAGGTGATGGGGGTAAGACATCTATGAAAAATCGAAAACCAGATCTACAATTGGAGCTCCTTCTGGGGACAGTCTTGAAGGAAAGGAAGTTGGTAAGCAAGAGACACTGTGTTTACTGTGTCACTCTCCCAACGGCCAAGGTATGGCTCAGCCTAGATGCCCATCAKYGGATGAATGGGTATAGACACAATAGAATTTTATTTGACCATTAATAATGTTAATGCAAATGTCATTTGCACAAAAATGGATGGAACCAGAGGCCAACATGTTGAATAAAATCAGCCAGACAGAGAAAGGTTAAGTGCGGGTGTTTTCTCTCTTATATGGAAATGAAAAGGTGTCACTAGAAAAGACAAGATCAACTACTAGGGATAAAGAAGGGGGGTGGGGGAGGGGAGGGGAGGGCCAGGGGGTTATGAGGGACATGCCTTATGGAACGGTCACATTGAAACCCATTCATCTGTCTAATTAATGACTGAGCAATCATCATAAAGTTTGAAAAAGAAGGAGGATGTGCACCCCRAATGAGTGGGTTAATATGGGCAAAGCAATGACGGACACTTAGTATGTATCATTTCAGTGACTGTTAAATAAATTCAATCCTGGATGTTTCTGGCTGGGCTGGAGCTCAGAAATCATTTAGCTGAGGTCACAGACCAGTCGTCCAGGGCAAATACAGCCTGCAGATGTATTTCGGTTGCCCAACAGAACATTTTAAAATTGAATTAGCTGGCAGCRTTTAAAAAGGCGAGATTCATGGAAATAGAAAACAGCAATAGACCCACAGCCTCAGGCCCACATCCTACAGGGGAGCAACCATCGAGCGCGGAAGGGACATGGGGCTCCTCAGCCTGCCGCAGGCCCCACCCCTCCCTAGTGCCTCCCTGGCACGTTGACTGGCTTGCAGACTCACAAGGCACGCTCCAGAGTCGTGGATCAGGACCTTCAGGAGTGGGGCTGAGAGAGTGTATTTTTATGTATCCAAAAGAAAAGTTCCTTGGCGATGCTGATGCAGGGTTGAGGGGTGAGGGCCACTGATGTAAACTGAGCCCTCCATGAAAGAGGCCCAGAGAGGGGCAGGGACTGTATCCCAGGACACACAGCACATCAGTAGAAGATGCAGGGTCCAGGGTTAAAAGGATGCAGGGACACCTTGTCTGGGTTACAGCCTGGCTCTCTTCTATCAATTGTCCCCATGGTCCCTCCAAGTTGGCAGTTTGGGAAGTCACAAGCCAGCCTCGATACCGGTCTAGGGCCGAGATGGGCAAACATTTTCAAGAAAGGGTCAGAGAGTAAATGCACACAGCTTTGAAAACGCTCACTCTGCCTTTGCAGCATAGAAACAGCCAGGGGCAAAGCTGTAGATCATGGGCGTGGCTGTGAGCCAGGGAAGCTTTTTCTTGGCCAGGGCTGAGGTGGGGGGGGGGGGCTGCTGCAGTTGGCTGACCCTTGGTCTAGGGCTGCAGAAGCAAATWAAAAAATAGCCCTGTCCCTCGAGGACCTAACTTTGGGTCTAGCACGGCTGTGCACGAATAGTAACAATAATGAYGACAGTGACCAGTAAGCACGTCCTACAGGCAGGCGCTGCATTGATGTCACGGCCTGGAATCCCCCCAGTGACTCAGCCGGACAGATATCACAGATGAGGACACTGGAGCACAGAGAGCCAACTGGTAAGGCTTGTCCCCAGGTCCAGTATCTCCAGAACCCCGTCACTCTACGATCAAGCTGATGAGTCAACTGGTGACTCCCCCAACTCCCCCTGCCCCCGGCTTCCTCATCCTTAAAATGGGTACGACCACATGGGTTTTCAGCCAGGCCGTCAGCTGCTCTGGCTACGTGACGATCATGACCACTTCCGCTTGCAACTGGGGGCCTGTCTCCCCGGGGGGCCGTCAGTCCTCATTTTCTGGAGGGAGAAGACCAGTCTTAGCGGCTGGACAGGCTTCTTTCTCCTCCTGCCATTCTCTGGCCACAGCCTGCTCTCGGGAAAGGGCACGTTTCTATATTTGTCGTCCTCTTTGAACAAGAGCTCCGAGTTCCTCCCAGGCAGCGGCCCTGGGTTCTACGGTGGATCTTTGTTGACGGGGAAAGACAGAGCTGGGGTGCTCGCTAAGGTAGCCAGGCTTCATCAGGGACCACCGTGGCCCCGGACRCGGGGGCTGGGGGAGCCGAGCCCCGAGCCACCTTCTCAGATGGTGATGGCTCTCTGCAGCCGGGGCAGCGGCAGGTCCTTTCTGCACGGACAGGGCAGAGTCAGGACATCATCCGGGTTCCTGCCTAATTAACCAGGGTTTGAGGACATCCCTGGCACAGGCAGATCAACATGAGAGCACCYGGGTCACCAGGGACCTTTCCAGGGGTCCCCGCTGGTCCTCGGGAGCTTCTGCATTCTGAGCTGCTGGGGATGGCAGTGCCCGAGGGCCGCGGCCCTGCTCTGAAGAACCAGGCGGGCAAGGCGTGTCCTCCCCTGGACGCTTCAGCAGGGACACCTTGGCTGGGTTACAGCCTGGCTCTCTTCTACCAATTGTCCCCGTGGTCCCTCCAAGTTGGCAGTTTGGGAGGCTGCAAGCCATCACCACGGGGTGGCTCTAGGGACCTTGGTCTGGTTTGGTTGAACATTTCATGGTGCTCAGTTTGTGCAGGGTGCAGCTTGGGCCTGGCTGTGGTCAGGGGAAGGAGGGGAGGAAGAAGCTCAGAGCCCCGTCCCTTCCCAGCCACACTTCCTGCCACACTTCCTGCCACACTTCCCAGCCACACTTCCCGGCCACACTTCCTGCCACACTTCCCAGCCATACTTCCTGCCACACTTCCCGGCCACACTTCCAGGCCACACTTCCCGGCAACACTTCCAGGCCACACTTCCTGGCCACACTTCCCAGCCACACTTCTTGCCACACTTCCCAGCCACACTTCCCAGCCACACTTCCCGGCCACACTTCCCGGCCACACTTCCAGGCCACACTTCCTGGCCACACTTCCTGGCCACACTTCCCAGCCAGGCCGGGGAAGGGAAGAGCTTCCCCTGGGCAGGAGTGGAGCTGAGGAGCCCTCCCCCAGGCTCACACAAGCAGAAGAGCAGTGACCTCGCTCCTGCCTCGGCCGTCCCCAGAACTGTAAATTGCTGGGCTGCGCGGAGACAGCTGTGAAGGTAATGACATTTCTACCTCTCGTTACTCCTCCAAGTTCACGGAGCAGGGTGGTTTCCAAACCTGGCTGCGCGTCRGATTTTTCCAAAGTGTAATGCAACAGAGACACACGTTTCTGGACCCCGGTGGAGAGTGGTGATTCTCAAGCAGGGGCGAGTTTGGCTCCGGCAGACATGTGGCAATGTTTGGGGACTGTCACAGCTGGAAGGTACATGTAGCGTGTGGAGGAGGCCAGGGACGGCTGCTAAACACCCCCAGGGTACAACGCAGAAGGATCCAGGCACAGTGTCAAGACTGCCTTAAAACTCTGCCCTCTTTAAGTTCAAGTTCCTGTTCAGAGATAACGTTTTTTAATAGCCTTCCAGGGCATTGTGACGAGAATGGCCCTTGGGGACAGATACTGTGGGCTGTCTGACCTTGGATAAGGTTGTTGGCGTTTCTGTGCCTCAGTTTGTCTATAACAGGAAACCCTATCATGTGTTTTACAGGGTTTAATGAGTCGATTCAGACTGAATGGTTAGACCCCGTATGCAGTAAGTGCTCAGTTAGTGCTGGCTCTTTTCTTGACGGGGTTGCTGTGACCATCAGTCCCCCGGCAGGGCATGGAGGGGTGGGGCGGCCTCGGGGCTCCTTGGAGGCCTCGGAGGTCCTGGTGGGCGGGGTCTGGGGTCTGGGCGGGGCTCACCTGGAAGCGGTGGAAGTCCTGGGGCTTGAAGTCGTTGGGGGAGCAGCCGCACCAGTCCACAATGTGCTTGTACTGGCACTTGCAGCCCAGCTTGCGGTTCCAGTTGGTGACCCGCAGGTTGTTGTCCACCATGGTGTCGCAGTGAGGGCTGTTCTCCAGGACCGTGTGGAAGAAGGACTGTGGGGAGACAGGAGCCCAGCTCAGCCCTCCCGGCCTCCCCCAGGTGGGTCCCCCCAGGCCCTCCAGCGGCAAGGAGCGYTCCTGGAGAGTCTTGGGGACAGCTGCCAGGCCTGCCAACTCGGTGGCTGGATTCTACCTAGAAATGTCCCCCGGCCCCAGCGCTGCCTCTCCTCCGGGGCTCCACCTGATTTCAAGACAGCCCACCGCCCSAGGCACCTGCAGCTCAGTGACAGGAAGCCTCTCAGGTATGGCAACGGGAGAGGGGCAGAGGCCAGAATGGGGACAATTTTCAGGGAACCTTGAGCCAAGAGGGCTCTTATTTTTTAAAGGGCCGGATTTGAAAGCGACAGGCTTCAGGTCTGAGATAGCTCGGTACCAAGGACATGTGCACTGGAATGTCACCCCTGGGTGCAGGCGGCCGACCCCCGGGCGCCATCCGGCCTAGGGTTGAAGGGCCCTGTCTTTGCCACTCAAAGGACAACCCAAGGAAGGGCAGGGTGCCCGATGTCCGTGGGGCTGAAGCAGGGGTCCTGTCTCTCTCTAGTCCTGGGCCTCCCGTCCAACCTCCTGCCATGACTCTAAGAGAGGCATCCTGGGAGTGAGGGCAGGAGAGAGGGGACATGGTGGTCATGGCTGCTGAGACACAGAGAGAGAGAGAGAGAGAGAGAGAGAGAGAGAGAGAGAGAGAGAGAGGGAGGGGGGTGTGGGAGACAAAGGGACAGTTCCCATTTCCACTCTCTTTATAACAATCGCAGCTGCCAGAACGCACTCCCCGGCTCTCTGCTCCCTAAGGGAAGCTGTTGGGCCATCTGTGTCTGCCTGTCACAAACGCATGGGCACGGCCTGAAGACTTCTTCTCAGCCAGTCCCCAGGAGGTGTCTAGGAGAAGGGAGGGCACAGCCGAGATGCAGGAATGAAAGAGGAGGGGTGCCCTGCGTGGGGGCAGCGAGGGCGCCCCCCACTCCCCCCACCAGTTGGTGGAGGCCACCCGASCTCTCAGAGGATCTCTTCCCAGCGGGTAGGTGGCCGTCCCTTAATGYGGAAGGACACACCCGAGAACCTGGGTTTAAGCTTGGCTCCTCCACAAGCCCACAGAGACACCGATCCTCCGTCAAGCCTGGACGGAGGACCCAACTGCCCATTGCCCTGTGGCCTTTTAAATCTCCCTGCAAGATAATGGATGAAGAGGTGGCCGGAGTGGGGAGAAAAGGTGCTTTTCACTGAAATAGGATTAAGAGCTGACGACTTAACACGTCATGGCTGGCTCAGTGATGACAAGCTCATGGTCTCTGTGGAGGGACATGGGTAGTCAGCCCTCCCTGGAGCTGGACACTGGCCCTGCCCCCAACCGGAGCCCAGATCTATAAGGCTGATGGCCTGAGAGTGACAATACTCCTGAACTGGATCCCACCCATGTCCGGAGGGTCTGGGCTCGGCAAGTTTACACTGCAGGGCTTCCTGCCCCCTGAAGTCTGAAAAGAGGTTTCAGGATCCTGGAGCTGTTCAAATACTCCTAATGGGGAAATGCTGAGCCCTGGGCTGGTGGCCACAGGGGCTAGTGTAGACGTCACTGGGTGGCCGACCCTGGGATCTCTTGTATTTCAAGATCTGACCCATGAAGCCAACACTATTTTTTATCAGGGAGTGACAGAGGTATATTCAAAGAAGAAAAGGAATTCTTGGGTGTCAAAAAGGTAGTTACTAGGGGCTGGGGATGTGGCTCAAGTGGTAGCACGCTCTCCTGTCATGTGTGCAGCCCAGGTTCGATCCTCAGCACCACATACAAACAAAGATGTTGTGTCTGCCGAAAACTAAAAAATAAACATTAAAAAAAATTCTCTCTCTCTCTTTTTTTAAAAAAGGTGGTTACTACTGCACTGGTGACTGCAGAAGTCACTCCGAAGTCAACGTGGGTATGTCCTGAAAGGTTGAGGCTACCCAATTGTACAGGTTATGCACTGCCCAACACRGGGTGCGGGGGATCAATCTGGTAGATATCAGAGATTTGTAATTTTTTTCACAACATTTTCTGGAAAACAGCAGAAAAGTGCCTTGTTCTAACAAAATCAGTACATTGGGATGTTTTTCTCCTTGATAGGGGCCAAATGCCCAGCGAGTGCTCCATTTTCTACCTTTTGCAGAGGCACATGCAGGATGGTGGAGACCCGGAGCGTCCCATTCCTATAGCCTTGGTGCAAACTGGAGGTGTGACCAGAGGATCTGCCACTGCAAGGGCCCCAGGGTTGGTGCGGCTCCCCGTCCTCGGCTCAGTTTGGGGACCAGCACTGCAGCCCCTGGCTAGAGCCCCCCATCACCCCCCAACCCCGGGGAAGTTTTCCTGCGCTCACCTCCGCGGGAAGCAGCGTGTAGGCATAGAACTGTTTCATCTTGGTCACCAGATCGTCCCTGGAGAATGTCACGTACTCCACAAACTTCCGGTTCAGCAGGAACCAATCGGAGCCGCCGTCCACCGAGATGCCCTCGGGGATCCTGCGATCCCCCAGGCGCCACATGTGCGCGTCGCACTCCAGGAAGAGCCGGTCCAGGCCTTGTTTCCGGATGAACCTGGGTGAGACGAGGTGGCCCTGAGCCCAAAGGTGCCCTGGTCCACCCAGAGCCCARATGCAAACAAACAAACAAAAAACCCTCAAGCAACAGCAGGATTTTTTGGGCACATCTTGAGCTCCAGGCGCAGAACCAGGGTCAGTGTGGAGTTCGCGTCTTGGCCTCGCAGGGAAGCGGGGCGCGCTGCCCGTGAGGCAGGTTCCTGGGTGGCCCCACTTCACRTCTGCGGCCACCGAGGCGCAGAGAGCTCAGGGTACCTGCCCGGCACCATCGGAGGGCAACGAAGGTCAGCGATGCCTGCTTCCTCCCTAGAGACCTTTCAAGGAACCTGCTTGTGCCAGGCTGTCGTGGTGGACGCAGTCTGTGCCYTCATCTCAGGACCGTGCTCTCAGATGCATGCGCTCCACCCCCAGCCACACCCCTAGACCGCCTCCGCTTCTTGATTGACACATGGTACACCTGATTACAAAGTACTTTGACAAATACCAAACGTAGGATGTTTCATTGTGAACACATGAAACGAGATCATGGCAGGTCTAATACCTACTGTAATAATAATAATAATAATAATAATTATTATTATTATTATTATTATTATTATTATTATTATTTTGCAGTGCTGAGGAGCAACCAGGGGCCTTGTGCATGCGAAGCAAGCGCTCTACCTCTGAGGGACACCCGTAATTTTGCAGAAGAGCGAGCATGTCACCTATGCCGTAATAGGAAACACATAATTGCTGCCCGTGTCCAACTCAGCTACTGTAAGTCCTGCTGCGTTTGGCATCTATGGCCAGTTAGATCGCAACTAGAGTTCCCAGGAAGTAAAGGTATCGCTTTGTTCCCATCCAGGCCACAGACCCCTGAGTGCTCCCYGTGAACCCCCGGGTCAGGAACTTCTGCTCCAGGAGGTACATGGAGGTCTGATCATCTCCCTTAGGACTGCCTGAAGCAGGACGGATAGAACTGGCTTTTCCTGTTTTGTGCATGCAGAACCCAGAGCTCCTCAGGGGGCAGAGCTGCTGAGACAGGAGTGTTCACTGTGAATGTTTATTGTACACCTACTGTGTGCCAGGCACGGTGCTGGGCCCTGGCGGGGTACTAGAGAGCAGGGAGGGTCCCTGTACCAGGGAACTAGTCGTTAGGTTGGGCTCTTATAGCCCAGAGGTCTCCTGGCCCGGGAACCTCTGCTTCTCCAGCCCGCGGAGCCCCCCCCCCCACCACACACATCCGGGAACCTGGCTGCTCTAGTCCATCTCAGCAACGCCCCTTCTGAGCGCCCCCTCAGGTTCCTCCGCCCCAGCTCCCGGTGCACACCAGCCTGAAAATCTCCCTCCCAGCTGGGTGACTTTGGAAGGTGAGGCATCCTCCCTGGGTCTCAGCTTTCCTCTTGGCATAATTGCAAAGGTGGGCTAGATCTGGATTTGAAGTTAGATGCCGGCAGCGATTGGCCAGAAAGGAGAAACCGTGAAGAGGCTCAGAGGACCCGAGCCACGGTTCCCACCACAGAGGGGTAGAAAGTGCGCGTTCCGAGAGGCACTCACATGCCTTGAAGGAAAAGGGTAAATAAAACCTCTCTAGGCTGAATTCTGACCATAGGACCCGGCCAGGATTACATCTGTAAGTCACTGTTATACCCAGAAGAGGGTGTGGGGCAGGTGTCACCTTCCATATGCGGACAGAGAAGCCCAGAGAAGGTGAGGACTTTTCCAAGGATGCACAGAGGACTCAGCCCCAGGGCAGAACTATCTGGAAGGCCCAGGTATCCAGCCTCCTGGTCTCATTCTTACCCAGTGCATCTTCCGCATGCAAAATGAAGCTCATTAGCAAAGCCAGGTTCTTGCTGGGGAGGGACTTGGTGAGGGTTTTTCATCATGGTCATGGTATCAGCGCGTGGAGACACAACTGGGCTTTCAAGCAAGCCCCGAGTTTAGGAAAGGGAGATCCTACCTCGGCTCTGGCTAGTGCTGATGTTGCAATAATGCCCGGTGGGTGCACGGAACTGTGTTGCAAACTTTAGATTTTAGATGACTTGTATGAAAACTTACACGGAAATCATACTGTGAGAAAGAGGGAAGAAGGAGGAAGGAGGAGGAGGAGAAAGAGGAGGAGGAGGAGAAGGAGGAAGAGGAGGAGGARGAGAAGGAGGAAGAGGAGGAGGGGGGATCGAGGAAGGGTAGGATTCCTGTAGGTAAGAGATAGAAACTTTTCTAGTAATTTGCTCCTTCCGGGGCGCAGCTTTTTAATTTCATGTTCCATTATATGGGATAATGTCATTGCCTTGCAATTTTAATGTGACATCCCAGGCCATAATATCCAAATACAATATTCATGCAGTCATCTCCAAAATGAAATATTCATGGCATCGGGAGATTGGTCTCTTTATTTACTGAATTCAAAAGCTGATAAGCTGCAAATATAGGCTTTGGTTAATTATGAATAAATAGAGACAGCCAATTCCCCAGATCTCGGATAAGTTTCTGGGGTCACGGGGGCTACCAAAGACTTTCTTTCGGCCCGGAAGAAGGTGGCAGAGGCCCGGAGCCAGGGTACCGACCTGGAGAGAGGAATCAGCTGTCTGGGCTGGGAGAGGCTTTATTTTCCTGCCTTTTGCAGGAAACGTCCAGAACTTGGAAAGAAGGTGCTGGAGAGCAAGACAAGTCCGTAGGGATGCCCCTGGGGTGCACCTCATAGATGCTGGCTCACGTCCCCTAGGTGGCAGCCCAGGCCCAGTGCACAGAAGGGGACCTTTCATTTCCCATTGCCATGGCTACCTTGGGGGCAAACAGAATGACGGGGGCATCATGGCGGGGCAGACACCAGGCACAGGTGGTGGGTCCTGATCCTGCTCTCACGTAAGATGACCCCATGAASCCGGACAGTTGCCAGGATGAAGTGCCGATGGTTCTCGAAGGACCTTGCAAAGTGTGACCATCGCCACCTACCCAGGCAGCCAGGCGATGGTGACGTCTCTCTCCCACCCCTGCGTCTCGGACGCTCGATCATGCTTAACGTTCTTATCCCATCACTTCTAACTTTCTAGAACAGCATCCAGGTCTGGGTTCTACTCACTAGACATGAGCCCTCAGGTGGCAGAGATTTTGAATCTGTGTTTGTTCACGGCTGTGTCCCTAACACCTAGAATAGTGAGGAGCGTCTTTGAGATGCTCAAGTAATACTTATTGATGAGTGAATAGAGGGAAGGGGAACAGCCACAGCAGCTGGACCACCAACAGACACGAGTTAGCCAGGTATCAGAGCCTCCTAACGCGCTCAGCAAACAAAAGAACTGAATCTCAGAGAGGTTAAGTAATTTCCCCCRAGTGGCACAGCAGCCAGTCTTGGACCTGAATCCAGGTGTGGCTGAATCCAGCGCAGACTCCGAAGGACCCCGCCATCCTTTCCTGTCCCCATTTGCCAGGGTCCCTCGAGTAGAATACAAATAAAGAATCTGAGGACGTCTGCCTCCCAAAGACGGTGCTCCGAGATGAGAGAGAAGCTAGAGACAGGTTTCCTTGTGGGTTTTGGAAGACGCTTTTCTGATGACCTTGTGAGACCTGTGTTCAGAACGGGCGGGCGAGTAAGGGGGACAGCTTGGAACCGTTCGCACTCAGCTTTACATCCTGGGCTCTCGTGGYGTCCCTTGAAGGGGACATTGGAGCCCCAGCCTGGTTCCTTCCCCTGTCCCTCGTGCTGCCTGGCCGCCGAGAGCCGAGCAGCTCTGCCCCAGCAGGACCYCTACCTCCCCCGGAGCCAGCTGACCGTGGACCAGAACCTCTGAGCCCAGGAGCCAAAGTAAATCTTCCCTCTCTTTAAGCTGATTTTCCCAGATTGTGTCACAGCGATGGAAACCCACKCGGCCACCAACCAACGCGACTAATTCCACAAACGAAAACCAAACCAAACCCGAGCCCCAGGGAGAAGGGATGAGAGGCAGAGTCACACCGCCTCGGGGAGAGTCCCCTGTTCTCCTGTCCAGCCATCTGACACGGAACCCTCCTGCCTCCCTCCCTCGGCACCAGCACGGCCTACGCATTTTGGTGGAAAAAAAATGAAGCCACAGAATGAAGCAGGAAGACTCACAAGGTGACATGAATAGGGACACCACGGTGACCAGGGACTCCCGGGCTGCTGACCTCGGTGCCCTTAGCTGTGKGCTGCTTCAGGGTGTCATGCAGAGAGGGGTGACTGCGATGGGCTCACCCCAAGGTCAGGGGCGAAGGTCGTAATGAGACTCTGGGGCGGGGGTGGTGGGGTGGGGCTCGGCGGGTCGCCCGGCGCAGGTGAGCGCTCCGTGGACCCCCGGCCCTCACGTGCTCCTGCTCCAGGTGGGGGTCTTAACCTCTGCCTCTCTTCTGGGGTTTGGTGGACAGGTGGGTCGGGCACCCCCCGGCTAGGGAGAAGCTGTGTCCAGGAAAGCAGAGGGACTTCAGCACCAAGGACAGAGCCCAAGGCCCCGGACCCCATTTCCCCCAACTGTTTTAGCAACACCCACCATTGGGCAGGGGGGAGGTGACAAGGGTCATGGCCTACAAGGACCCAGCTCACTGGGTTCTGAGCAGCTCCAAAGGGCTCCCTGTCCTTCTCTCACTTCTAGGGGGAGAGGAAAGGTAAATACTAACAGTTATCGTTTCTTGAACKCGGACTAGATCCCACTCACTCAATGTAGATTCTCTTATTCAGTCTTCACTTCAGCCCACAAGGATTCATTTTATGAATAAAAGAACAGAGAGGTTAAGTGATCTTCCCAAGATCACACAGCCAGTCAGTGGCAAGGATGGGATTCAAACCTTAATAAGTCAAGGCGGGGTCMGGCCCTCAGAAGGGATCGAACTGCCATCTGCCGTGGGACCCTTGCTGGAGCTGGGATGATGCTGTTTGGAACTTTGGCCTCTAACACTCTGAGCTAATAAACCTCTTTCTTCACMAACACCCTGCCTCGGGTATTTTATTATAGTAACAGAACAGGGTGTCCACACCTGGACGCAGAGGGAAGCTCCACA